CGAGAGAAACTAGCTGAAGTGTGGGGCGGGGCAGCCCCAAATCAGGGTAAAGACCTCTCGTTTGTGACTTCCTGGGTGACTCAGTCAAGGTCAGAGAAACCTAAAATTGCCAGCTGCTCAGCTTATCATAGGAAAGGCTGAAGTCAGTTTCCCAGCTACACTGGATCCCTTTGAGCCTCCCACAACCTCAGCCAAAGAAGCCTGCAGATTAGATCCTCGGTGAGTTTTCTGGGTGGATGGCATATAAAACACTTCTTGGATTATTATCCGTTTCTTGGCAGGAAGTAGATTAGGAGGGGCAGCAGAAGCTGCCCATGCCATGAATAAATTCTGCCAAATACAATGGTAATATACTCCACTGCTTTATCTGTGATCTTCACTGACTTCCTACTTTCTACAAAGTCCAAACTCGTTAACTTGCTCGAGACCATCCACAGCACAGCCTCACCCTAGCTATTCCTGCCGCTCCCCTCACACTCAATGCTTCAGCTCCACAACTCCCCACACACGAGCGTATGGCCCACAGTTTCTCACCTCTCTATCTTGGCTCCGCATGTTCTCTCTACTTATGATGTCATTCCGTTTCATTCATTCATTGTATACGTTTATTGAGCGGCTACCAGTTACCAGGCATCATTCTGTGATGATGACACTGAAGATGCAGCAGTTAAAAAGGCAAGGCGTCCTTGCCTTTGCTGGGCTTGGCTGCCTTTACTTCCCCTAGTTAAGGGGAGAGATGAAACACATAATTGCAGTAAAGTGTAATGTGTGTTAAGGAAACACAGGAGGCTTGGGGACATGTGGCAGGAGGTGGACCCTTGTTCGGGGCTAAGCCTGGGCCTTCATGGAGCCCTGGGTTCTACAGCCCTTTGTAGAAGGTAACAAATTCTGAAATCCCCAAGGCAAGGAGAGGCGGTCCCTAGAACCTGGAGAGGAACATCCCAACTCTGAATGTCCTTTTTTTAAATTGAAGTATAGTTGATCTACAGTGTTGTGTTGATTTCTGGTGTATGGCATGATTCAGCTGCACACACACACAGACACATTCCTTTTCATATTATTTTTCGTTATAGGCTATTGCATGCATGTTCTTTATTCCCTGTCATACTCTGGGACAAAGGAAACCCTTGGAGAGGTCACCTGGGAACTTGTCTTGTAGTAGCATGGCACT